GATTAGCGGTTGCCACGCGGGCCTTTCAATTACTGTATCCTAATAGTATGTGCTGCGTCAGGGTAAATGGCGTTAATTCGAAGCCTGTCGCGTAGTCACTGGTCTTCGCCAACGATATATTCTTTCATGTTTGTGTTGTATATGGATAGAATAGTCAAGAGCAGCCTAGGCGATGAGTATATCGGTGTAGGAGATACGGAGGCGAAAAGGTTAATGTTTGCAGACGACCTTTTTTTGTTGGCATCTTCTGAAACTGATCTTCAGTGTTACCTACTAAGGTTGACAGTTGAGTGCGATGTGACCGGCATACATGTGAACGTGTCTGAAGCAAAAAAACTAGTGCATTCTCGTTTTGGTTCTTGCTCTCTGTTGATTAACAGAGACCCAGTGGAGCAGTTGGAGAGGTTCAAGTACCTTGCAGTCGTGTTAACTAGTGATAGAAAACTTGAGGAAGGGATCGACCGGAGGATTGGAGTAGCCAATGGCGTTCTGAGTGAATTAGCCCGCTCCATTATGACTGAAGTAAAGCTGAGTCCGAAGAATAAGCTCTCGGTATTCAAGTAGATGCTCATTTCCATGGTTATCTGCTGTCGTGACTTTTAGGCTATGGGTGAATATCTTCGATACCAGGTGCAAACGTCTGAAATGAGCTTTCTGTGATGACACGCTAGTTACCCGCCTCGACATGGTGCGCAGTACAAAAATCCGTGAAAGTCGTGGTGTACGTACAGCCTCTGCTTCTTCAAACTGTAAAGTCACAGCAGTGATGGTTTGGGCATGTGTGGCGAATTCCTCCTGGAAGGAAGGCGAAGCAACTACTTCTTGCTTAGCCAACCTCGGAGGGCCAAGATTAACCTGGTGCAAACATATGGAAGAAGTCTGCTCTGGGCTATGGTAGTCTTCTGTTGAAGCTAAGATTATCGCATAGGATTGGGATTTTTGGGAGCACCATATGAGGCGCCTGCGTTGCGGCGCAGGAGGAGAAGCAGGCATGGAAGATGAAGATGAATACACTTGTAGCAGAGGTTCGAGACTCTCGTAACCATTCTTTCGATCGGTGTCGAGCGAGATGGTTCTGAGCACGAAGGGGTAGTGACTTAACATTAATTGAAAGACAATATTAGCTGCTACGAAGCCATAGCTGATTTGCTGATCTGTGGCCGAGGACAGCAGTCAAAGCTAATGATAAGGCTTTTATTACCAACAATATTTTTACGGAACAATGTGTTATCCAAAAGATGCTACCAATGTGACCGGAGGTTTCGTGATCGGTTATGTTTGATGCTTTCAACCATGAATCTCATAAGAATTGCATATGGGCAGAGAGACGCGTCATTTGTTAATATAAAATTTCCGGAACTCGCCTAAAAGCGAGTATCAAGTAGACAATTACATTATGTCAGATTTTCCGAACAGGGGGAATTGCACAAGTACCTAAGGCGTCTGAAGCTGCTTCAAATGGCTTTCTAATTTAAGCATGTTAGACATGTTGCATATTAGGCCTAGGTTCGTTAAAGGACACAAAATTTCGTGTGGAGACAGACAAGTGGTTGAATCATTAACGATTCATGGTTCAGGGCACCAAACATAGTTGATGGCAAAAATCATTATTGCCAACGCGTATCGCTACATATACCGTGTGCCAAGACTTTCTGATTGTTTTGTTGTTATTTTGAGACATCAGAGATGTGGTCAGCTGGGATGACCAAGCACCACTGGAAGCATTGGCCGTGGGTCTATGAGATTAGCTCATTTTTGTACAACGATATGGCACATTAATGTTTGCAGCAAACAGCTCGAAACATAACCACAAGAATTTGTTTTTCGCATATCGACAATCTGATCTGTTTATATCGTAAAGTGCGTGGCAGGTAAAAGATTAACAGCGACGGCAAACATCCTATTTCGCTTTGCTTTCGTTACAGTTGGCTTATTCTCCTGCAAAACGTATAATGTTCCTTCTTGCTTTGAAATTTATGACAAATACCTGGACCCATTATGGTTCAACAGATTCGACGCTTCCTCTGACCTCTGCAACTTACAAAGCGAAATAACTGATGCTCACTGCCACCGGAAGGAGCATTTGCTCAAATCGATCACCAGACCAAGATATAACATATTATTTCCAGCCAGTTTTCCAAGAGGAGACCACGCTGTCAAAAAAATGATTTTATTGACGGACTGAAGCTATAGCGACACAGATTAAGCGACATGAGAGAAGAGTGGCAATTTTTCGTTCGGATAGTAGAGAAAACATTGATGCATAGGTCTGCAGTTTGCAAATCAGTTTATATAACTCCAAAACCTCCCAAAAATTGGTTGCATCTGTTCAGCATCATCGGATCCATGATGTTCATTCCAGCCAACTAAATTCATATTTACACAATCGTGAAAACAGCCAACAGTAGTTTACCTGGGCCAGCGAGGCAATGGCGTTGTAGAACCCGTTGTACAGCTCACCCGTGATCATAGAGTAGATAGACGGGTTTGCTAACAAGCTTCCACAAAGTCTTCCCAGACCGTCGCACGAGTTCATTCCTGGAACGTAATACGGAGACACGCTTCCAATGAGCGGCATCGCACTTATAATGTAGTCTAAATCAACGGTCGTGGTTTAGAGAGTGTCAAAGTGACTATTAAAACAAAAATGTACGTTATTCTGTTGAACATAGCTATTCACATGGCACGGCTGTACAGCTGACGCATGAAAGCGACTAAGTAAATGGGGCCACCAACCATGTCCCGTGATCATTCTACCAGTTCAACCTCTTTGAATCCCTAAGAGGGGTGGCATTTAATTAACCACGTCGTTCAGAAGCAATGCTGAGGTTCGAACAGAACTCGGCACTCAGTACACAAGTCGAGTTCCAGTTCCTATTTGGGAATTCAACGGATTGAACAGCTTCTGCAGAAGAACAAGGTATCATTCATTCGAGATGAAACGACTATTCCTTGAAAGAGCATTTCTTCAGTGAAGAATGGGAGGCAATTAACCAAACCATTAAAAGACATTCACAAAACGTTTGTTTAAAAAAAAACTACATACACAAGAGCAACGTTGACCGTACGACAATCAGTTGACCATCAGTCGCTTTACGCATTAATTATTGTTTATTAATGTGCTCTAGTGATATCTAAGCGAATCAACGGTGAAAGGCCGTATTCTATCAGATCTAGAGAACCGCAATGCTGTGAACATGATGAAAGATGATATCCGAGATACCATGTGTCTCTTTCGAAGTTCGAAATCCTGTGGGCACGGCAGGATTACTGCGGAAGTTCTGAAGTGCCCAGATAAAACTCTATTGAATTGGATCCATCCAGTTTTTGGCAGCATCTGAAGGAAGTCAGAAATCCCTTAGAACTGGACGCAGGGCGCGATCACTCCCAATTTAAACGTGGGAATCGTTCTGGTTACATTAACTACTTCTGGTTGCGGGATCACGCTCCTGCCTGTACTGAAAAAAGTATTCGCGCAATCCTCCTCTGAGGACCAAAAACGCAGTTGACACATTAAACCGGGTTTTGAACTGGACTCTCATTTACGGATAACTTCGTCGTACTAAAGAAAATTAATCGAACAGGGAAGAAGCGTTTAACCTCCCTGGCATGCAACATTCCTCGACTTCTGAGCAGCTTTAGACTCGGTGCACGGTCAGCACTTGTGGCACCTGCTGAGACACTGTGGAGTAACGTAGAAGATCATCAGTCTGCCAAAAGCACTGTATGAAGGCATCCATTACGTCATCAAAATAGAACAGTCGTTGTCGAACTGGTGTTGCATCAACAGAAGAATATGCCAAGGAAAGGCGCTTTTACGGCTGTTATTTAACATGGCAATGGGTCATGCGATGCGGATGAACATAGTCCCCAACAACAGCGACGGATTTACTGCCAGACGACGATTCAGCCGAAGATATCCAGTAGTATTCATAATGGATCTCGAGTACGCTGATGGCATTGTACTGCTGAGTGCTTCGCCAATGGCATATTAGCATTAACTGAAGAAATGAACAACGTGGAATCGACGGTTACAAGTTACCGCCACAAAACAGAGATCATGCGCGCATCCAACTCGACTACAGACCCAAGGATTGATTATAGTTCAACGACCATCGAGGAGGTGGATACCTTCAGGTAATTTACCTCTGTACTGGCAAGAAATGGAAGCTGAGAAATGGAATGGAAGTAAAACGGCGTTTCGGACTGGCATCCGTGAACTTTGTGCGACTTTCTAAAATGCGTCAAGATCGGTTTATCCGACAGTAAGAAAAATAACCATGCTGAAAGCCGCCATCTTCTAAATCGTGATGTGCAGCGTTTGCAAAATCAACCCTTTCAAAGCGGCATGAAAAGATGTCGGAACGTTGCCTCCGGAATAGCTTGAAAGTGCGATGATTTTACTGAATAAAGAATGGAATGATTTTGAAAACAAGCTATGGGAAACTTGAGAACTGGAAAGTTTGCTGAGATTAA